CCTGGCATGGGGTCCCCATCTCCATCACCAGCAGGTTCCCCAAAACAGCCTTGGGACCCCCAATTCCACCCTCAGTGCTCCCACCTCCCCCTATTCCCCTGTCCCGCCCCGTTCCCATTGTTCCCCCAAAGCTTTGCTGCCCCCAGCTCGGTTTGGGGGGGACCCAGCCCTTTCCCATCGTGTCCCGGCCCGGCCCCGCTCACCCGAGCGCTCCGAACCACACACAGGGACAGAGGAGGGACAGAGGGGGAGGAAGAGGAGGAGCAGGAGGAGGAAGAGGAGGAGCAGGCAGAGGAGGCTCCACCTGCGCTCCCCGCTCTCTGCATCTGCAGCTCCTTCGGGACCATCGTCCCCCATCCCGCAGGTGCCCGGGGAGGGGGAGCTCGCCCCAAATACCCCGGGGCTCCCTGGCTTTGGGGTTTTTGGGGGGGATGTTTGGGGATGGCAGGGCTCCAGAGCCGAGCCGCAGATGCCCCTCGGGGGCACCCCGGGGGTCCCCGGGAGGTGTTTTTGGGGGGTCCCGGTTTCGGTGGCGGCAGAGCCCCGGCAAAGGGGCCGGGGGGATGCGGGTCCGGCATGGCCGGGAAAGGGGTTCGGGGCTCCCGGTGCCGGCAGTGGCTGCTCCCAGCATGAGCCCAGTTGTTCTGCCCATGTGGTTCCAGTTTCCTCGGCACCCCAGTATGAGCCCTGTCACTCCCAGTCATTCCCTGTTAGGGTACAATTTGTCTGCATTTTATCCCATTTTTCCACATTTTTATCCAATTTTTCCCCATTTTTATCCCATATTTTTTTCCAGTTTTTGCTCTATTTTTCCTCATTTTTATCCCATTTTCATATAATTTTTCCCCATTATTATCCTATTTTTTCCCCAAATTTTTCCCCATTTTTTTTTGTTTTCTCTCAATTTCCCCTTTTTATCTCATTTTTCCTCAATCTTTTCCCAATTTTTGTGATTTTTTTTCCTATTTTTTCCTATTTTTCATCAATTTTTACTCAAATATTTCCCCGTGTTTTCCTATTTTTTCCCAATTTTTTTCCATTTTTAATCTATCATCTTGCCTATTTAATCATCCCAAAAATTCAAATTCTGGGGGGGGGAAAATTTGAAATTTTGACTGGAATAAAGGGTTCTTTAGGGGAAAAACTCCATGAATTTGAATCACAGCTTTCCCATGATTTTTCCATTATTTTTCCTTGATTTTTCCATGATTTCCAGCCAGAAAGAGGCGTAGGATTCATCCGAACATTCTGGAGCCTTGAATAGGACCAGGTAATCTACCTTCCCAAAAATCTGGACCAGCTCGTCCACAATTCCACCTTTCCCCACTCCCCGGATTCCCAGGTCTGTAAATTCTTCAACGACCTCCCAGCTAGGCAGTTCCTAAAATTCCATGGAAAAATGGGATTGGGGGATTTCATCCTGGTTTTTTTCTGATTTTTCCCATTTTTTCCCAATATTTTCCTTAATTCTTACTCTCTTTTTTTCCCCCATTTTTTCCTGATTTTTCCCTCATTTTACCCTGAATTTTCCCAAATTTTTCCCCATTTTTTCCTTTTTTTTTCCCCAGTTTTTTCCCAAATCTTCCTGATTTTTCCCTGATTTTTCCCTCTTTTTTCCCCAAAATTTTCTGTCTTTTTCCCAACTTTTTCTCAATTTTTTCTGTAATTTTTCTGGTTTTTCTGCTTTTTTCCCCAATTTTTTCTGTTTTTCCCAATTTTTTTTCCCTGATTTTCCTCCATTTTTTAAACTTTTTTTTCTGATTTTTTTCCCTGATTTTTTCCAGGTTTTATTCTTTTTTATTTTCCTGATTTTTCTTTCATTTTTCACAATTTTTTTCACATATTTTTCACATTTTTTTTCTGGCTTTTTCCCTCTGATTTGTCCCCATATTTCCCCTTTTTTTTTTTAATTTTTCCGGATTTTTTTCATGTTCATTTCCTAAATATTTCCTGGCTATTTCCTAATTTTTTTTTCCCATTTTTCCAAGATTTTTTTTTCCCTCTTTCTTTTTCCTCATTTTTTCCTTGATTTTTTTTCCTTGATTTTTCACAGTTTTTTTCCTGGTCTTCTTCCTCTTTCTTTTCTGATTTTTCCCTGGTCTTCTTCCTCATTTTTTCCTGATTTTTCCCTCTTCTTTTTGCAGTTTTTTCCTGCTTATTCTCCAGTTGTTTCACAATTTTCCCCTGTTTTTTCCTGTATTTCCTAATTTTTTTACTGATTTTTCCTGATTTTTCCAGGTTTCTTCCCTCTCTTTTTTCTCAATTTTACCCAATTTTTTCCCAATCTTTTTCCTGGTTTTCCCTATTTGTTTCCTGATTTTTCTTGATTTTTTTCACGATTTCTTTATTTTTCTGATTTTTTCCCATTTTTTTCCCAATTTTTTCTAAAACTTTTCCTTCATTTTTGTATTTTTTCCCATTTTTTCCCCATTTTATTTCCTGATTTTTCCCTTTTCCTTTCCCAAATTTTTCTGGTTTTCCCCAATCATTTTCCTGAGTTTTTTGCAATTTTTTCTCAAATATTTCTGGTTTTTCCTTGATTTTTCCAATATTTTTCCCAATTTTTTCCTGATTTTTCCGAGGGTCTTTTCAGCTTTCTTTTCTTAATACTTTCCCTGATTTTTCACAATTTTTTACAGGTTTTTTCATGTATTTCCCATTTTTCCTGATTTTTCTCTTTTCCTTTCCCAAATTTTTTTCTAGCTTTTTCCCAATTTTTTCTCAAATTTCCTAATTTTTCCCTGATTTTTCCTGGGTCTTTTCCAGATTTTCTCCCATTTATTCCCTTTTTTTCCCCCATATTTTAACCTCTTTATTTTCTATATTTTCTCCAATTTTTCCAAGTTATTTCCCAGTTTTTTTCCTGATTTTCTGATTTTCTGATTTTTTTCCCATTTTTTCTAGTTTTTAATGATTTTTCCTTCTTTTCTTATTTGTCCTGATTTTTTCCCCATTTTTCCCAGATTTTTTTGACTTTCTTTTCCTGATTTTTTCCTGTTTTTCCCATTTTTTCCTTGAGTTTTCTTTTTTCCCCCAAATTTTTCCTAGTTTTCCCCAATTTTTTGTCAAATTTTTCCATTTTTCCCAAATTTTCCCCAATTTTTTCCTGATTTTTCCCCCCTTTTTTTTTATTTCACCCTGATTTTTTTCTGTTTCTTCCCTTCTATTTTCCTTGAATTTATCCTGTTTTCCCATTTTTTTCCGCAGTTTTCCAGTTTCCGCCACACTCCCAGTCTGATCCCAGTAACTCCCAGTCTACATCCCAGTCTGATCCCAGTCACTCCCAGGATGAGGCCAGTGGCCCCCAGTTGCTCCCTGGCAGTGCCAGTGTGACCCCAGTAGCCTCCAGTGTGATCCCTGGGACTCCCTGTCTCTCCCAGTATATCCCAGTCAGCCCCGGCACGCTCCCAGTCATTCCCAGCTCCTCCCAGTTGCTCTCAGCATGATCCCAGTTGTTCCCAGCCACTCCCAGTCAATCCCAGTATGATTCCAGTCACCCTCAGTGGGATCCCAGTCTCAGCCAGCAGGGACCCAGCTGCTCCCACTGTGATCCCAGTATGATCCCAGTTGAGTGTGATCCCAGAATAGTTGTAATTGTTCCCAGTTCCTACCAGTGTGATCCCAGTTGTCCCTGGAATAGTCCCAGTCCATCTCAGCATGGTCCCACTCACTCCCAGTTGCCCCCAGTGTGGTTCCAGCTGTTCCCAGTATGGTCACAGACACTCCCAGTATATCCCAGTTGCCCCAGTAAGGTTTTAGTTACCTCAGAATGATCCCCTTCTTTCCCAGTTAGTCCCAGTTGCTCCCAGTATGTTCCCAGCTGTGGCCTCAGTCCCCTCAGCATGGTTCCAGTACCTTCCAGTTGATCCCAGTTGCACCAAGTTGCCTCCAGTATAGTCCCAGTCCCTCCCCAGATGATCCCAGACCCTCCCAGCATGGTCTCAGTCATGCCCAGTTGCCCCCAGTGCAGACCCAGTCAATCCCAGTTGCTCCCAGTTGTCCCCAGCATGGTTCCCGTTGTTCCCAGCGTGATTTCAATTTCCCCAGGATGGTCACAGACACTCCCAGTATATCCCAGCTGCCCTCAGCATGCTTGTGCTCATTCCCAATCATTCCCAGTTGCCCCAGTAAGGTTCCAGTTACCCCAGTCCAAACCAGTCCCTGCCAGTGCTGCCACTCCTGGGATCCCCCAGCCCTCTCTGTGTTCCCCCCAGTCCCACATCTCCCCAGAGGAGCCCCAAGGGCTGGCAGTCCCCAGCCAGGGTCCCCAGCCAGCCCCAGGTTGGATCTGCAGCCCCCAATTTTCCCAGTTTCCCTCTCCTTTTCCCCGGGCCGGGTTCCCCCCGTCCCCAGCGGGTGGGAGCAGCGGAGAGCCCCGCGCTGCCCATCCCGACCTGTCCCGGCTCCATCCCCGCTCCTGCCGTGGGCTGTGAGGGGTTTGGGAACGGGGCACCGAGGGTGTCGCTGCTCCTGGGGGAGGAGGAGGAGGGATGGAAGAGGAGGGATGAAGAAGGAGAGTGAGAAGGGATGGAAGTCGGAGAAGAAGGTGGAGTTAGGGAGGAGGAGCAGGAGGAAGAGGAGGGACAAAGGAGGATCAGGGAAAGTAGAAGGAACCACGAGGTCGCGCACTCCCTGAATTCACAATCCCGCACCCGTGGGATCATTATCCCCCATCCCACAGGTGACCAAGGAGGGGGAGCTCAGCCCAGATATCCTGGGAGGTTCCTGGGTTGGGGTTTTCTTGGGGGAGATGTTTGGAGAATGAAGAACTCCAAAGCTGAGCAGAAAATGCCCCTTGGGATGATTTTGGGAGGTCACACAATCCTTAAGTGGGGAGATGGAAACAGGGGGAACTTTTTGGATTCCTGAAACTCCCAGCAGCCTGGGGAGGGCAGCGACAGAGCAAACAGGGACCCCCAGTCCAAGCATGATCCCCAGCAGCTGGGACCGGGGGGAACCCCTCAACACCAAAGGGGAGAGAGGAGAGATGGGGGACTCCTGTGAGGCATTTTCAGAGCTGAA